GTGAAGTATATCCACATTGTTATACAACAGATCTATACCTACTAAGCACAAATTTCCCCTCACCCCAGTCTCTGGTAACCATCCACTTTCTGTTTCTATAATTTTTAACAATTTTATGTACTTCACATGAGTATAATCATATAGTATTTATGCTTTTGTGACTGGCTTACTTTGCTTATCATGATATTCTCAAGGTACATCCATGTTGTAGCATATGACATGATTTCCTTTCTTTTAATGCTGCGTGATATCCCATTGAATGCATATACCATGTTTTCTTTATCCATTCATCTCTCAGTGGACATTTTGGTTGCTTCCACATATTGGCTACTGTGATAAACATGGATGTGCAAAATTATCTCTTTGAGATCCCACTTTGAATTCTTTTTGATATATACCCAGAAGAGGAATTGCTGAATCATGTGGTAATTCTGTTTTTAATTTTTTGAGAAACCACCATATTGTTTTCCATAATGGTTGCAGCACGTACACTCCCACCAACAATGCACAAGGGTTCCAGCATCTTGACATCTTCACCAACAGTTGGTATCTTCTGTTCTTTTCATAGTGGCTGCCATGATGGATGCGTAGTGATATCTCATGTGGTGTGGATTTGCGTTAGTGGTTAGTGATGCTGAACATCTTTTCATGTGCTTATTGGCCATTTTTCTATCTTCTTTGAAGAAATGTCTGTTTCAAGACCTTTGCCCATTTTAAAATCAGGTGTTTGATTTTCTTGTTGTTGAGTTGTACAAGTTCCTTATGTATTCTGGATATTAATTCCTTATCAAATATATGGTTTGCAATTATTTTCTCCCATTCCATAGGTTTTCTTTTTGCTCGGTTGATTTCCTTTGACAGGCAGAAAATTTTTAAGTTTGGTGTAGTCCTTTTGTCTATTTTTGCTTTTGTTGCCTGTGCTTTGACATCATAGCCAAGATATCATTGCTTATTCAATTGAAGTTTCCACCCTGCCATGTTTTCTTCTAAGAGTTTACTAGTTTAATGTCTTATGTTGTAGGTTTTTAATCCATTCTGAGTTAATTTTTGGATATACTGCAAAGTAAGGGTCCAATTTCATTATACTGGACCCAAACACACAGTTTTGTTTTCCTAATGTCATTTATTGAACAGACTGTCTTTTCCCCACTGCAGAGTCCTGGTACCTTCGTTGAAAGTCATTTGCACATATATGCAAGAGTTTGTTTCTAGGCCTCGTATATTGTTTCACTGGTCTATATTATCTATTTTTATATCAGTACCACACCATCTTAATTGCTGTTGCTTTGTACTATGTTTCAGTCAGAAGAGGGCAAGACCTCATACTTTGTTCTCATTAAAAGACTGTTCTGGCTTTTTGGGGTCCTTTGAGATTCCGTAGAAATTATAGGATGTATGTATGTATGTAGCCAAAAATCGCACTGGGATTTTGAGAATGCACTGAATATGTAGATCATTTATTTTGTAGTTTTCAATGTATTAGTCTTTTATCTCTTTGGCTAAGATTATTCCTAATATTTTATCTTTTCTGATGCTATAGTAAATGGGATTGTTTTCTTAACTTCCTTTTCAGATTGGTCATTGTTAGTGTATAGAGAGGTAAATAATTCCTGGCTGTTGATTTGTATTTGTATCCTACAACTTTTCTAAATTTGTTTATTAGTTCCAACAGTTTTTGTGGAATTTTTATGGTTTTCAACATAAAAAATGTCATCTGTGAACAAATCATTTCCTTCCTTTCCAATTTGTATGTCAATTCCTTTTCTTGTCTAATTGATCTGGCTAGAACTTCCAGCACTATGCTGAATAATAGTGAGAGTGGGGATCCTTGCTTTAACCCTTCTAAAGTAGGGGTGTCCAACCTGCAGCCCACGGGCCATATGTGGCCCAGGATGGCTATGAATGTGGCCCAACACAAAATCATAAATTTAATTAAAATATTAGGAGATTTTTTTGTGATTACGTGTCACAATGTATTTAATGTGTGGCCCAGAGATGCCAAAAGTTTGGACACCCCTGCTAAAGATAGGTATTTCAGTTTTTCCACATTATGAAATTCACTGTGGGTTTTACTCAGCTGACTATTATTCAGGAAGCTTCCTTCTAATCTAGTTTGTTGAGTGTGTTGATCAGGAAAGTATGTTGAGTTTTGTCAAATATTCTTCTACATCAATTGAGATGATCACATTGTTTGTCTTTCATTTTGTTAATATGGTATATTACATTGACTGATTTTTGTTTGCTGAATCACCTTTACGTTCCAGCCATAAATCCTACTTGGTCATGGTGTATACTTTTAATGTGCTGATAAATTCAGTTTGCTGGTATTTTGTTAAGGGTTTTTTGCATCAGTATTCATTAGAGATATTTGATGTAGGGTGTTTTTTGTTTGTTTGTTTGTTTTTTTAATTTGTCTGTCTGATTTTGGGATGAGGGTAATACCAGCCTCATAGGAGTTTGGGAGTGTTCCTTCCTCTTAAATTATTTGGAAAAGTGAAAAGAATTGGTATTAATTCTTCTTTAAATGTTTGGTATGATTCTGTAGCGAAGCCACGGGGACCCGGGCTTTTTTTGGTCTCCTCACTAGTTAGAGGTTCGTTCGGTTTCTTATTTCTTCATGATTCAGTCATGATAGGTTGTTTGTAGAAATTTATCCATTTCTTCTAGGTTACCCAATTTGTTGGCATTTAACTATTCATAATAATCTCTTATAATCCTTTTTATTTCTGTGACATCAGGTCTCATGTCTTCTTTTATTTCTAATTTTAGCTACTTGAACCTTTCCTCTTTTTTCTTAATCTAGCTAAGGGTTTGTCAATTTTGCCTATCCTTTCAAAAATCAACTCTTGGTCGCATAGATTTTTTTTTATATTGTTTTTCTATTCTCATTAATTTATCTCTGCTCTAATTTTTGTTATTCCCTTCCTTCTGTTGACTTTGGGTTTAGTTTATTTTTCTTTTTCTAGCTTCTCGAGGTAAGTTAGGATGTTGATTTGAGATCTCTCTTCTTTATTAATATAAGTATTTAGTACTATAAACTTCCCTCCTCCTGCTGCTTTTGCTGTATTCCATAAGTTTTGGTATACAATGAATTTTGTTTTCATTTGTCTCCAGATAGTTTCTAGATTCCCTTGTGACTTTTTCTTTAACTCATTGTTTGTTTAAAAGTGTGTTAATTTCCATGTTATTTGTAGATTTTCCTGTTTTCTTTCTGCTATTGTTTTCTAGTTTCATCCCACTGTGGTTAGAGAAGATACTATTAGGATTTTATTTTTAAATTGGTTAAGACTTGTTTTGTGGCTGAACATGCGCTCTATCTTGGAAAATGTTTTACATACACTTGAGAAGAATATGTAATCTTCTACTGTTGGATGGAATATTCTGCCTAAATTTGTTAAGTCAAATTGATATATAGTGTTATTCAAGTCCTCTGCTTCCTTTAATGATCTTCTGTCTAGTTCTTGTATCCATAATTGAAAGTGAGGTATCAAAGTCTACTACTGTTGTTGTGCTGCTATCTACATCTCCCTTCAGTTTTTGTCAATGATTGCATCATATATTTGGCAAAGTATTTTTTTAATAAAAACATAAAAAGCTTAGAGTCAAAATATTTTCTCTAAGGAATGACTATGGTAAGGAATAAAAAGGAATAAAGGATAGGATTTGGTGTTTTTTATTAACTGTATTTTTTTCTATAGTTTACAAAAGTTAAACAATGGAGTTCCTTTAGTACTTACGAGACAAAGTAAGTTTTCTTTAAAAAGAGCTATATACACTACAGTATTATAGACTAATTCAAGAGCGAATGACTTTTTCATTTTGTGTTTGAGGTTTTATAAATTAAGAAAGACTGAGATGTAGAACAAATAACATTTAATTTCTGTTTAATTTATTTGTTTCTTCATTACAGAGTAGTAGGGTTTCGATGCTAAAAACTTTCAGTATCAACCCCGGCTGGGTGGCTCAGCTGGTTGGAGCACCATGGGTTTGATTCACAGTCAGGGCACATACCTAGACACCTAGACTGCAGGTTTTATCCCTAGTCAGGGCATGTATGAGAGGCAACCAACTGATGTTTTCTCTCTCCTTTCTCTCTCTCTCTCAAATTTATAAACATACCCTCGGGTAAGTATTTAGAAAAATAAATATATAAAAAATAAATAAAATATTTTTAAAAAAACAAAGTTTCAGTATCAATCCTGCCTGAACAATCCAAGCAAACCAGGAAACAGCTGTATCCGCTCATTCTCCATACTTTCTCTCTAATTCATATATGATTAATTTGAATTATATAACAAAAGATAATCAAAATGTCAAAGTAATTTAGTTGTTCACATTATTTTTGTATGAAAACCATATTCATTTACCACTCCTACTATTAGTGAGCCTAACATCAAACTAGTTCGCAAATAAACCTTCACAACACATTTTTTGGAAAACATTTTCACAAGTTTAATTATTTAGTATACCTTGGGCCTTATATTTATTCTGTACAAATGATTGATTTTGGTCTCATTTTCTGGTTTAAAAATATATCTAGGTTATTTTTATGTGCATAACCAATTCAATTATTCAGGCTAAAGAGAATAGTTTTTAACTGGCAGATTCTTATAATGTAGTCATTGTTGGCAAAATTGTTATATTGGTAATCATGGTCAGATTTTTTTTCAGAAGGATATTATTTTTAAAAATGAATTTTTATAAGTACACTGAGATAAACATTCCTTATTTGGAGATTTTACACTTGAAACTGGAATACAGTTATTAATCACAAATGATATTTAAATGATTTACTAAGAGTAGAAAAAATTTTATATTTGTAAGTTTGTTCAGATTCCAAATCCAAGAACTAAATAATAATGCCTTTCCACCTTTATAAACTGAAACAAAGGCAGGTACATTTCAAAAGTAAACAAAATTTCTCAAATACTGAAAATACTTATTAAAAGAGAAGTATATGTGTTAAATCTTCTGGAAAGTAAATATTAGTTAACACTTACTGGGCATAGTAGAGAAACCCTTAGGCTGGTTGTAGCTATTTCACTGTCTGGATCCGCAGTCAATTTCTCTTTAACTGACATTAGATGAAGAGAAAACAAACAGAAAAGTTTACAAAGGACACATCACTAATGCATTATAAGAAAAGAACACAGAACTTAAAATGAGGAACCTTAAAAAACAGAACTCAAAAAAATCTGTTCAATTATTTTCCAGTCAACTGAATGGAAAGATAAAAGTTATACGGTTTATAATTTCTATAATGAACAAAGGAAGGAAAACCATTGTCTATCTATAGACTGCCTACATTTCCTGTAAGTTTCCTGTTTCTCATCCATGGAGCAAAAACTGCATTGCAGTAACATAAAGGAAACCTCTATAGCAGGTTGACATATTCAGCTGATGGCAGACCCTGTTTCTTTTAAAACTCTTCCTTTTAAACTATGACCAATATTATCTTAAAAGAAATTAATAAATAGCAACTATAAAACATTTAAAAATTTTCCCAAAACTCAGATAACAAAATACTGTTTACAAAACACATAATTCAAACTTCAAATTATGAAAAAAAAATAGTTCAGCTGCTTTTTAATCATATAATTATTTGAGTTGTACATTTATTTATCCATAAACCAATTATGCTAGCTTGGGCAAATCAATCCTCCTCTCTGAGCTTAATTTTACTTCTAGCAAAATAAGGACCCACATTAGATAATCTCTAAGTCAGTTCAAAATTCCAATGGTTCTTAAGAGAGAGGTCACTAGTAATTTCACTTTTAATGGAATTCTGTTACTCAGTCTAATATAAGAAGGGACTTTTATACTTCTCATGTGGAAACCTGAGGCATCTGTTCTAAAAACTGCAATTTAGAACTTCAATTAAACTGCAACATAAAATTGAGACTGGAGATGCCTCAATGTAATATTCCAATAACTTTTGAACTGTTCTACAATAATTTTCAAGTCTTTATATGGAAAGGGGGCCCATGTGTAGTGACTGTGTACACAGCCAATCACAGAATTTCAGAGCTGCAGCACAACTGTGTACAGGTAGTTAACACAGAGTAAAGAAAATGGGGAGAGAAAAAGTACTCAGACAAAGAAGAATGATTTCTGAGTAAATGCCTGGGTGTTGAAAACCATTTATGGGAATTAAGATTCCAGCCTTCTCTGGCTAGATGGATCAGCTGGTTAGAGCACCATCCCGATATGCCTAGGTTGTGGGTTCGACCCCCAATCAGGGCACATACAAGAGTCGACTAATGCATGCATAAATAGGTGGAACAACAAATCCATCTTTCTTTCTGTCTCTCTCAAATCAACTTTTAAAAATTCTGCCTTTATTAAACATAGTGATCATACAGTCTAAATTTTTTTAAATATTTTATATATTTTTAGAGAGGGAAAGGGAGGGAGAAAGAGAGGGAGAGAAACATCAATGTATGGTTGCCTCTCAAGCGCCCCCTACTGGGGACCTGGCCCGCAACCCAGGCATATGCCCTGACTGGGAATCGAACTGGCAACCCTTTGGTTCGCACGCTAGTACTCAATCTGCTGAATCACACCAGCCAGGGCCATGATAAACAAATCAACAAACAACAAGTGCTGGCAATGTTGTGGAGAAAAAGGAACCCTAGTACACTGTTGGTGGGTGTAGCCACTATGGAAAAAGTTTGGAATTTCCTCAAAAAGCTAAAAATGGAACTGCCTTTTGACCCTGCAATTCCACGGCTGGGATTATACCCTAAGCATCCCGAAACATCAATTCAAAAGAACCTATGCACCCCAATGTTCATAGCAGCACAAATTACAATATTCAAGTATTTGAAGCATCAGTAAATGAGTGGATCAAAAACTATGGTAAGTTTACACAATGGAATACTACACAGCAGAAAGAAACAGGGAACTTCTACCCTTCATAACAGCATGGAAGGAACTGGAGAGCATTATGCTAAGTGAAATAAGCCAGGGGGTGAAAGACAAATACCATATGATCTCACCTATAACTGGAACCTAACCAACAAAACAAACAAGCAAGAAAAATATAACCAGCAGCATTGAAAGAAAAAACAAACCGACAGTAACCAGAGGAAAGGAGAGAGGGGGTAACTGGGAAAAGAAGGAAAAGGGTCAAGTCAAGGAACATGTATAAAGGACTCATGGACAAAGCCAAAGTGGGGAGGACTGAGTAGAAGGTGGGGGTGGGTAGGACAGGGAAAAGTGGTGGCAGGAAAATGGAGACAAATGTATCTGAACAATAAAAAAAGCTAAATAAATAAATTTTTTGAGATGGTCCAAATCTTAGATATTACACTCAACTGTCTCCTAAGTCAGTGATCTCAACTAAGATGTACATCAGAACTATCTATAGAGCTTTCTAACTGATTTCCCACTGAATCAAAATGGGAAAGAGGGACACCAATGGGTAGTTTAAAAAGTCATTTCATGGCCGGAAATCGCAAATTTTTAAATCTATATACCTCATAGGCTGTCTCACAGCTGAAATAACCCCTATGTTTTTAGCTTGGAAAATACAGTTGTCATATCACCTATGCTAATTGATACATGTAAATTATAAAAAGTATGGCTTTCCTATTTTAGACCCAATCTTAGTCAACCCTTTCTTACAAAGATACACTTAACAAATAGTATTTTTTTAATGGTAACAAATAATTGCAACACAAAATAAACATGCAAATAGAATTCTAATGTGATTACCAACATTCCTCATGTCTCCAGTACCCATCACATACACAGCAATGGGAACAGTAACTGGCTTTGGATTTTGTCTAGTTAATCTTCCACTTAATGAAGAAATACCATAGATCAGCATTATGCAAAACAAAGTTCAGTGTTTAGTCATTCAAAAAAAAAAAAAAAGAAAAAAGAAATAGGAGAGGCAACCTGAGGTGGTAGTAGTAAAACCCAATCTAAAACCAGCCTAGGTCAGAATTTTCCCTTAGTCAAGTCATCTGCTTTCTTTATGCCTCAGTTTCATTATTTTGTAAATGTCAATAATAATAATCCCTCAAACATTGGTTTAAAGATTAAATGAATTAACTGAGGTAAAATGCTTTAAAATAATCTAACATCATACTTAGTAAGTATTAGGTATTGTTACTTGAAACAAAATGTGATTTTTATGTTCACTTTCTCCCAGAGGTGGGATAATTTCCCAAAATTATTTTAAAATCAGCTTGTCAATTTGTTTTTTTAAAAGCTCTCTCTTTCACCTTTGCCATTACAGACTCAATCTGAGCCAATCTTTTCATGTAAAGACGCTTTCAAAGATCGTACTACCATCTTGATTGGACTTAATCTACAGATCACTTTAGAGAGAACTGACATCTCTCCAATAACAATAATGAGTGTTCTGATCCATGAACAAGGTATATCTTATACATTATTCAGGTCTTATTTTAATTTCAGCAATGTTTGTTACTGTTCAGCACACAAATCTTACACATATTTTGTGCAATGTATCCCTAAGCATTCCTTATTTTTGGCTGTTACAGTAAATTCTTGCTTTTTGATTTTCAATTTTCAATTGTTTACTGCTAGTAGAAATACAATTAACTTTTTATAAATTGACTGTGTACTTACTATGCAACCTTGCTAAAGGCATGTATTAGTCTTAACAGCTTTTTGTTGATTCTTTAGGATTTTTTCTACATAGGGAATGAGGTCACCTTCAAATACAGAAAATAATTATCCATTCATTTCTAATCTACATGTTCCTTTTTTCTTGCCTTATTGTGCTGGCTAGAATCTTGAGGGTAGTGCCAAACAGAAGTATTAAGATCACATATTGCCTTGTTTCCAATCTTGGGGTAAAGCATTCAAACTTTTTCACCAGTAACTATGATATTAAGTAAAGGCTTTTTATAAATACCCTTTATTACACAGAAGCAGTTCTTTTCTTTTTCTATTTTGCTGAGAGTTTAATCATGAATGGATATTGAATTTGATCAAATGCCTTTCCTCCATCTGTGGATGCATCATATGGATGACCATATGATCTTTTTTTTTTTTTTAGTTCCTTGAGGTCTAAATTATGCTGATTGATTTTAGAATACTGTACTAACCTAATATTATTGGAAAAAGCTCTATTTGATCCCAGTTCTAAATATTTTCCCAAGAGAAATGAAAATGTATGTATACAAAACTGGGATATCCATATTCAAAAAAAAGCTCTACTTGACTTTAAGTTATTTGATTTAGTCAAGCACAATTCTGAAAAAAAGAAAAAGCTGGAAGACTAATTCTAAGACTTACTATCAAGCTACAGTAATCAAGACTATGGTATTGGCAAAAGGATAGATATATATAGGTCAATGGAAAATAACAGAGTCCAGAAATAGATTCATACTTCTATGGTCAATTTTTTTTTTTTATGAAGGTGCCAAGTTAATTAAGTGGAGGAAAAAATAGTCTTTTCATCAAAGTTTATGGAACAATTGTGTATCTTTATAGGGAGAAACGAACCTCTAACCTTCCCTTGCCCATATATATGAATCATATACAAATGTTAACAGACATTTCATCAAAGCTGGAAATATTGCAAATAAGCATATGAACAGATGCTTAACATCTCTAATCACTAAAAAAAATGCAAGTTAAAACTACACTAAGATACTGTTACACTCTGACCAGAACGGCTAAAATCAAAGCAATCTGACAATACAAAGCACTAGTGAGGCTGGGAACAACTCAAAATCTCACACATCATTGATGAGAATGCAAAAATAGTATATGCACTTTATAGGACATTGCTAATCTGTTTTCCATACACTCATCACGTGACACAGAAATCCCAGTTCTAAATATTTTCCCAAGAGAAATGAAAATGTATGTATACAAAACTGGGATATCCATATTCAAAATGTAAATGTTTTAGCAGCTTTATTTATGACAGTGCAAAACTGGAAACAATCTAAAGGTAAATCAACGGATAAACAGAGGGACAAAATATGGTACGAATAAATAGACTACTACTAAGTAATGAAGAGGAATAAACTACATGAAAAAACTTCAAAAGCATTATACTAAGTGAAATAAGCCAGACACAAAAGGGTA